GATAGAGTTAGGGTACTCCGTTGTTGTACAAGTAAAAAAGTAAACTATGAAAATGATATAATACCACCTGCTTTTATTTACCGAAAATATTAATATTTATAAGATGATAAGTATATCTACTTTGCTACTAAACTTTATCATCTTATATTAATAACTTAACATTGAGATGGAGATGAAAAGCTTTTTATTTTTTTTCTGTAAGACTTTTGAAGACAATTATCTAAAGTGTCTACAACTTGTTTACTTTTTGAATCAAATTGTTCAAATAATAAAAATATTATTTTCTTTAATTTTGTAATACAAGAATTTTTTCATTAAATATGGATATTTAAATATAAACGATAGAATAATTAAAGTGAAAATGAAATTATATATTTTTAATTATGAATGATAATTTAATTCATTTGTATTTCATTATATTTTTAAGCATTATCCAATTTATATCCTTAAGCCTAGGAAAGTGTTTATTTTTCAAGACTTTCTATCATTTTGTAAATTTAAATACATTATTTTCAAGTTTAAATTTGATAATTACACAAAATTTGAAAATAGTTTATGAAGAGACCGATCATCCATTTTCACTTAAAAATTTTAAAAAATAAAGAATTTAATATTTTTGAATAATACCTTTACATTTTGTTTATATATTTATTTAAAATTTAATATCATTTTATAATTATAATTTCAAATTAAATAAATAAATAAATTTATGCATCACACAAGTCACAAGCTAGTTTTTATATATATTAACTACGTCATGTGTCAAATTTTAATCTATATTATTAATATCATATGGGTTTTATCTTAGTCAATAAAAAATTAATGATATTAACTTTTTCATCCAAATAAAGGTTTAATTGAATATAAATAGATATTAAAGAGATTAATTGATTGCTATAAAAAATAAATATTTGGATGATTTTTTAATTATAGTTTAAGGCTTTTTTTAACCCTTTAACAAAAAAAAAAAAAAGAAAAGAATAAAATGGAATATGTATTCTATTGTTTGGTTAGTAGAATAAGTTAAGCATTCTAACTTTATTTTCATGTTGACAACAATAGATTATGAAATAAAAAAAGAATAGTTAGTACAATGTCCAAAGTATCCTCATAAAATATTTCATTAGTTTCTTACAATTATTCCTTTTTTCCTCTAATTTTCTCCCCAAACTAAAAACAAAACTCTTTTAAAACTCACACATTTTTCTTTCATCTCCTCTTTCAGCTCTCCCTTTTTCTTCTTTCTTGCATTTCCATTCCTTACGCCTGTATTTGCAGTTTGGAAAACCCAAGAAATGATTGTATGAACTAGTTATTCTACATCGACACCTGTTCTTTCTATTTAAATCATGCCATGTAATCATGATAATAAAAAAAATTAATTATTTATTATATATTACATGTGAGAACTAAATGATGAATATTAATTTCAACACTCATATATGTGATTTATAATAAACGATTAATTTTTTTATTAATATGATTATGTGACCTGATTTGAATGAAAAGGACATATGCTGATGTGGAATAATTTTTTCATAAAATCCTTTCTCTAAAATATCCATTCAATTCTTTACACAGATTTGAAGCTTGCAACTTAAAAAACCCATTTCCTTCAATTTATTATAGATTTAGAACCTAACGTCATTCAAAGTTTTAGCTTTATTATTATATGGAATCAAAAATCAAATTTTTTTGAAAAAATTTTCTTACCGGTTGTAACTTGGAAAAACCCCCCACTTCATTCTTTCATCAAACTTTTTGTATTTTATTCCAAAGAAAACAAAAAATATAGAAAAAGAGCTCTTCTTGTTCGTTTGCTGAAGAACCTTCTTGCTCTTCAGTGGACGATACGGCTATGGAGTTATTTCTTGAAAACAAGGTAAGGTTTGTTTTAACTTTCATATATGTCGATAATTATGCAAATTGGTCAAGGATAATTTTGTCAGAAAAAAAAAACTTTAATAAGCTATTTCTTAGCGCGTTGAATTTCAAAGTTTTAGCTTTATTATTATATGGACTCAAAAATTTTTATAAACTCAAAAATTTTTATAAAAAATTTTGAAGAAAAATTTCTTACTACTTGCAACTTAGAAAAGCCCTTTTCATTCTGTTATCAAACTTCTTGCATTTTTTTTCCAAGGAAAATAAAAAAATATAGAAAAAGAGCTCTTCTTGTTCGTTTGCTGAAGAACTTTCTTACTGTTCAACAAATGATGCCCCCATGGAGTTATTTGTTGAAAATGAGATAGGGTTTGTTTTAACTTTTATATATAAATATATATATATGCTAGTAATTACGCAAATTGGTCAAGGATAATTTTGTCAAAATAAATGAGGTATTTCTTAGCGTATTAAATTTCAAAGTTTTAGCTTTATTATTATATGAACTTAAAAATCGATTTTTTTTAGAAAAATATTCTACTACTTGTAACTTGGAAAAATCCCACTTCATTCTCTCATCAAACTTCTTGCATTTTATTCCAAAGGAAAGAAAATATTGAAAAAGAGCTCTTTTTGCTCGAGTGGATGATGTGGCAATGGAGTTATTTGTTGAAAATGAGATAGGATTTGTTTCATCTTATATATATGTCGATAACTATTCAAATTGGTTAAGGATAATTTTATAAAAAAAAAAACTTTAATGAGCTATTCCTTAGTGTATTGAATTTCAAAGTTTTAACTTTATTATTATATGGATTAAAAATCAAAATTTTTTGCATTTTATTTCAAAGAAAACAAAAATTTTGATAAAAAAAAAAAAAAAAGAAAGCTCTTCTTCTCTTCTTGTTCGTTTGTTGAAGAACCTTCTTGCTCTTCAATGGATAATGCAGCAATGGAATTATTTGTTGAACAATGAAATAGGGTTTATTTTAATTTATGTATATGCCAATAATTATACAAATTGATCAAGGATAATTTTGTCAAAACAACTTTAATGACCTAGGGCATTGAATTTCAAAGTTTTTGTGTCATTATTATTCGGACTCAAAAATCAAAAATCTTTTGAAGAAAATTTTCTTACTACTTGTAACTTGGAAAACCCCACTTCATTCTCTCATCAAACTTCTTGCATTTCATTTGAAAAAAAAAAAAAGAACTCTTCTAGTTCGTTGGCTAAAAACCCTTCTTACTATTCAACAAATGATGCGCCAATGGAGTTATTTGTTCAAAATGATAAAGGGTTTGTTTTTAATTTATATATATGTATGCCAATAATTATGCAAATTGGGCAAGGATAATTTACCAAAAAACTTTAATGAGCTATTCCTTAGCACGTTGAATTTCAAAATTTTAGCTTTATTATTTTGAAGAAAATTTTCTTACCGCTTCTAACTTGGAAAAGCCCCACTTTATTCTCTCATCAAATTTCTTGCATTTTATTCCAAAGAAAACAAAAAGAAAAAGAAGCTCTTTTTGCTTTTTTTTTGTTCGTTTGCTGAAGAACATTCTTACTCTTCAATGGATGAGGCGGCAATGAAGTTAATTATTTGATGAAAATAAGATTGGATTTGTTTTAACTTATATATATCGATAATTATGCAAATTGGTCAAGGATATTTTGTCAAAATAAATGAGGTATTCCTTAACGTATTGAATAATTCAAAGTTTTAGCTTTATTATTATATGGACTCAAAAATCAAAACTTTTTGAAGAAAATTTTCAACTACTTGTAACTTAACTTTGGAAAAACCCCATTTCGTTCTCTTATCAAACTTCTTGCATTTTATGCCAAAGAAAACAAATATATATATATATATATATATATATATATATAGAAAAAGAGCTCTTTCTGCTCTTCTTGTTTGTTTGCTGAATAACCTTTTTGTTCTTCAGTGGAAGATGTGGCAATGGAGTTATTTGTTGAAAATAAGATGGGATTTGTTTCAACTTATATATATATATATATATATATATATATATGTGTGTGTGTGTGTGTCGGTAATTATGCAAAATGGTTAAGGATAATTTTGTCAAAAAGACTTTAATGAGTTATTTCTTAGTGTGTTGAATTTCAAAATTTTAACTTTATTATTATACGGACTAAGAATCAAATTTTTTTGAAGAAATTTTCTTGCTGCTTGTAACTTGGAAAAACCCCACTTCATTCTCTAATCAAACTTTTTGTATTTTATTTTAAAAATGAGATAGAGTTTGTTTTATAACTTATATATGTGCCGATAATTGTACAAATTGATGAAGGATAATTTCGTCAAAAAAAAAAAAACTTTAATGAGCTATTTCTTAATGCGTTGAAATTTCAAGTTTTAGCTTTATTATTTTATGGACTTAAAAATCTAAAATTTTTTGAAGAAATTTTTCTTAATGCTTGTAACTTGAAAAAACCTCACTTCAATCTCTCATCAAACTTCTTGCATTTTATTCCAAAAAATACAAAAACTATAGAAAAAGAACTCTTCCTGCTTTTATCGTTAGAACTTTCTTATTCTTCAGTGATGATGCGAAGATGGAGTTACTTGTTGAAAATGAGATAAGAGTTTGTTTTAACTTATATATATATTTGCTATAGTTATGCAAATTGGTCTCGTCTTTGTCAAATAAACTTTAATGAGCTAAACATTTTGAATTTCAAAGTTCTAGCACTATTATTATATGGATTCAAAAATCTAAAATTTTTTGAAGAAAATTTTCTTAATGCTTGTTACTTGGCAAAACCTCACTTCATTCTCTCATCGAACTTCTTGCATATTTTATTCGAAAGAAAACAAAAAATATAGAAAAGAGCTCTTCTTGTTCATTTGCTGAAGGACTTTCTTGCTCGTCGGTGGATGATGTGATAAAATTATTTGTTGAAAATGAAATAGGGTTTGTTTTAGCTTATATATGCCAATAATATGCAAATTAATTAATTATAATTCTGTCAAAAAAAAATTATAATGTGCTATTCCTTAGCGCGTTGAATAGCTATTCCTAAATGGGAGTCAAGAACGATGATTCCTGATGTTTAAGGAACAGAGAATCACACGGAATAACAATTCTTTAGGTTGAATGGAAAGATCATTCCGTCAAGAACAGAGCTGGAATGGAAAGGTCATTCCAGGGAACCAAACACGACGAAACTGTTATGATAGATTTAGAGCTTCTCATTATTTTTTTTCAAGGTTGATTCCTGCAAGAAAGCAAAAAGGCAAAAAAGAACCAAATGACCAACGTTGATGCCTTGTCATCGAGCACAGCTGGCTGTGATTGTATTCAGAGACCCGAAAAGGTTTTTAACTTTTTCATCATCAACAATTCACCAAATTATTCCTACCTCAATTATTGCTGCAATCTTTAGTTCCGCCGATTAAGGAAACAGAGGTACTAAAGAAAGAGAAATTAAAGTTGGTAAAAGGGATTTATCATTTATATCCATGCTGGATCCTTCAAGGGAGTGACAACGGCCTTTACTTGCAAGTAATTGCTTAGACAATGAATACCCTTTTCTCTTCCCTGTCCACTCATCTTGTACCCACCAAATGGAATAGCTGCATCAAACACATCATAGCAGTTTATCCAAACTGTTCCCACTTTCAATGCGCGGGTCAAGGTGTTTGCAGTGTCTAAGTCATGTGTAAAGACACCAGCAGCCAGTCCATAACTGGTAGCATTAGCCCTCCCAATAACCTCATCGATGTCCCTGCAATTAAGGAAACATTATTACATCAGTCGAGCCTAAATTCTCTTACTACAAGATGCACAAGGCTTGGTTGATTTGCTCACTTGAATTTTAGGACAGACTGAACTGGACCAAATATCTCATCCTTAGCAATCAACATGTCTTCCTGATAAAAGTGACGTTTTATCATTTATCTCCAGTATCATGTTTCAATAGCATTCTTGGTAATCTGGTTACAGTTGAAGTTGAGAATGTAATACCTTTACGTTGGAGAAGACGGTGGGCTGAATATAGTAGCCCTTGTCCCCTATCCTCTCCCCTCCGGTTTCAAGAGTTGCTCCACTTTCAACACCCGATCTTATGTACCTCAAGATCTTTTCAAATTGTTCTGAATCAATCTGATTTAAGTATGCACCGTTGTCAGTATAACTAGCTAACAAAGAAGAATTTATAGGACTCAAACCAAAATATAACATTGCATTTTCATTGATTCTCCTCTTAGCTATTGAAGATTGGGCTGCTTGAATATGGTTTAGCATTGTTCTTAATAATGTACTTAAAAATCACTTGACATAAGAACAGCTATATGAAGAAACGGTCGTTGATTTACCTGAGGACCTTGTTCAATTCCAGCCAAGAATGGATCACCAACACTACGTTTCAATGCACGTGTCTTTGCCTTCTCTAAAAATTCATCATATACACTCTCATGTACATATGTACGAGAGCCAGCACAGCAACATTGTCCCTGCAAATGGTTTATAACTACAGTCAATAAAAAGAATCCCTATATTGAAACTGACTTTGGTGCATATCCTCAGACATACCTGATTAAAGAACAAAGCAAAGTGGGCCAGCTCAACTGCCTTGTCCACATCAGCATCCTTGCATACAATAAAAGGCGATTTTCCTCCAAGCTCCAATGTTACGGGCTTAAGATTGCTTTTCGCAGCCAACTCAAGGACAATTTTTCCAGTTTGAGTTGATCCAGTGAAAGCAAGCTGTAAAAGGTTACCATTGATCTCATAGGTACACTAAAAGAGTCATGCAATGAAATATATATTTCTTGGATTACTTCTATGGACGTTCTATCTGACATAATATATAGAAATTTTAGGGCAGGGTTGATAGTTTTATTTCTACAAGTTTACCAATCTTTCACGGAGATCAACTTGTTTATTCTAGTCAGTGGCAAATGAACTCTTCAGAAAGAGAGAGTTGAGAGGGGAATTCAGAATGCCTTAATTGGAACACTCGTTACTAAGTCCCTTCAAATTTTCAAGAAACGTGAACTTAACAAACAGCTGGACTCTAAAGGTGCAAAATAAAAACAGAGTTGATGATAAGAGCTTACTACAAAACTAAAGTTCCTTGTCCAACATTTTAGATATTTGTAATGACTATTTTTCTATTTACCAACTAAAAACATGGGAATATATAATAGCATATAAATATCACAACACTTTATTAATTTTTTATCAACTTAGATATGACTGCCAAGATTATAAAAATTACATGTTAAAACAGGGAATTCAGAACAATCATACCAGACATTAGTATATGGACCCATAAAAGATAAAGTTGATAGTTCTTTGAGAGTAAATGACGGTAACAGGAATTAATGTAGACTGAGTAGTTCTTTTAAGGATGTAAAGTACCTTATCCACTTCCATATGACTGGCAAGAGCAGCACCAGCAGTTGGACCAAAACCTGAAACCACATTTAGAACACCTGGAGGAAGTCCAGCCTGTGAAAATGATTCCCAGTGAGAATGAGTGAATGAAAGATCAAGAATAAGTATATGAACAGTCATTCAAGCATAACTTTAGGAATTCAATAATCAAGTTATAAACCATGGGCACAAAAAAACCTGCGTTTACATTCTTAATTATATAATAACAAAAGCTGCACATACGCCACCAATAAACACTGAAGTTTTAAGTATTGTTTATCTGAATTCAGTGTATTTAAATTAAGATATAAATTTAAGAAAAAAAAATAAAAGCAGAGCCTAACGTTGTGCTGTTGGTGAAATCTAAAAGAAATTATTAGGTACAAACCCCATGGTGAGAAATAGGTAAATAGAGGTTATATACTCAAGAAACTACCTCGTGAATTAGCTTGGCAGCATAAAGAGCAGACAAGGGTGTCTGCTCTGCTGTCTTAAGAACGATAGTATTGCCACATGCTAAGGCAGGTCCAATCTTCCAAGCAAACATGAGAAGAGGAAAATTCCATGGAATAATTTGACCAGCAACACCAATTGGTTCATGTATGGTTTGCACATGATGTGGGCCATCAGCTGGAACTGTAAGACCATGAATCTTGTCTGCCCAACCTGAATAACCGAAAGAATCCCGCCTCAGACATTGCTTAAAAGCAAACAAGATACTAGTAAATGATACTTGAGATAGCAAAAAATGTTTACGTGTAATTTCAGTGACTTTACTGACCAGCATAGTACCGAATTATACGTGAGATCATCGGTAGTTCAACCTTAGCAGCCTGTTCATATGGCTTTCCATTATCCCAAGTCTCAAGTGTCGCAAGTTCCTCAGTATGTTTGTCAAGAAGATCAGCAAATCGGAACAATACCCTCGATCTTTCCTGGAATACATTAGACAAAGTTTAGCAGGGTTGAAGATTATTTAATATGACAGTAAGAAGTAAAAACTGTTAAGTTACATAAGCAGTCATCTTTGGCCATGTTCCTTCATCAAAGGCCTTGCGAGCAGCAGAAACTGCTCGATTTATATCTTCAGCATCAGCTTCAGCAACATGAGCAATCACATCCCCTGTCCTGGGGTCATGTGTTGGAAAAGTTCTACCTGTTGGATTGCGAGATTTGGTAAAGAATTAGCTGAAGAATAACTAACATAAAATGCCTACGTGACATATTTATAGGTACGTCCACAACAATGTATAACTGTACATGAATGTGAGAAACCAAAAGCTCACCTGATGCCGAATCAACAAAGTTCCCATTAATTAAAAGCTGAGTGTAGTTCACTTTGACAGAAGGAGTAATTGGGTTCTCAAAAGCAGCAGCAGTGGTGTAATTAGAAACCACTCTGCCCACTCCAGAGATCCTCCCTGGAAACAAAAAACTAATTTCAACAACTAAGGCTAAGAATGAATACTAACTAGTAGTAATAAAACTAACGGTAACAAGCCAACTCCCACTAAAATTTTCGGCTCACAATACATGAAAGGAAAGAAGGATAATAATAACTGCACTTGTTATCCACATTACTACATCAAGATTCTCTCGTGCCATAAATGCATAACATATTTAATTATATCCATAAGAAAAAAATTGTTTTTTTTTTTTTGCTGTTTATACAGATGCAAAAAATGCAACTTCGTTTATAACTTGATATATCAAACGTTTTCTTTGACATGCCAGGGTGTTAAATTTGTTGTTCAAATCTGCATCTTCTTATTATAATTTAAGCAAAAAGGAATGAAAATTTTGGAAACTTAATAGCAGTGATACTCTTTTTTCTTGATAGAGAAACTTTGTATGTAAGTGTTCAGTTTCACGTTGATTTTCTTACTAGAGACATAACAAATGCGTTACGAAACTAAAAGTTCAAAAAAAAAAAAAAAGTTTTCCCTTTCTTTTTCTCATTAAATTTTCTGAGCAACCAAACAAACACACTACAAAAAAATTCCATCGGACCTCGAAAGTAAAAAAATGATTAAATTAATCGTAGCTAACATTTATATTTCATTAAAATAAGAGTTCGGTATCCAATTGTTTTGAGAAAACAAAGGTAAAAAAACGAAAATTAAAAGAATGAAAAATTTTCACAGAAAAATGAAGTAATCAATTCAAATAGAAATACCTTTAGAGAGCAGAGAAGAAGAAGAAGAAGCCAATTTACGAGAAAGCAACGATGAAATCCAGGTAGCCCCCGCCATGATCGATTATCGAACAATCAAGAGATTTGAAACGAAATTAAACTTAATTTAATCAGAATTTTTGTTTTTCTTTTGATAAAAAAAAAATGAGAAGGGACTTTGTGGCGCATCTGCAATGCAATGCCAGAAGTCGCCTTAAGTAGGCGCAGGCAGAGGAAGATCAGGGGTGGGGACAGTTAAGGCGACAGTTGGGTTCTACAAGTAATCGGTGCCGCGTGGAAGTCAACGCTTAGGGCAGTTTGCCAGCTTCAACAAAATCCCAAAAAAAAGAGGACAAATTTGGCGTCATCTGAAAATGAGTTGAATGCGTGCGTGGAACTATAAAACTGTAAAACATAAGGCATCGGATACGTTGGAATGAGATAATTTTGATATTTTGTTCTTTTTATTCTGCTGACGTCGAACGTGATAATTTCCATATAGTTTTGGGGAATGCTAGCGCCACCCATAAGTGCCATCACCCTCCAACACTCCCTCGTACATGAAGCCACGCTTCCACATTTTTTCAACTAAACACCGGCAACCGAATATTCAAGTCATCTCTTTTTTTTGTTTTTTTCTGTTGCATGGTCCCAATTTTCAAATCACACCCAAAAAGTTAACTTAAGACTAAAAGGCCTTTGGTGTTCCCAAAATATATTAATATTGTCATTGTTTTTACAGATAATTTTGAATTAAACAAAATATATATACGTTATATATATTTTTTCTTATGATCAATTTATTCAATTAGTTTTTAATTTTATATAAATATATAAAAGTCAAAGTTTTTGACAAAAATAAAAAAAATTCCTATGTGAATGACTAAAATAATGACATATGAATTGTTTTAAAAATTATTATGTGACATCAAATAAATTTATTTTATTTTATTTTATGTATTTTTAATTTAAAAATTAAAAAACTAAATTGATTATATTTATGTTTTTATTATTAATCTTAAATCTCTTTCAATTCAATTCATATTAAAAATATTAAATTTTAAAATTTTCTTAATTTGACAAATTAAATCAATCAATATATAATTAATAACTTCATAAATATTACAATTACAATTATAAAATAGTTGATTCTCTAATCAATTATTTGATATATTTATATTTGATTAAATATAGTATCCAATAATTGATATATTTTATATGTAAATATAGAAAGCAAATATATCAAATTAATTTATCATAATTAAATTAATGAAATAAAATATTTTATTAATTTATATTTGATTGGTAGATTTATATTTTATTAAATATGATTTCATTTGGTAAAACATTAATGCACGTTTGATTTCATTTGAAAAAAATATTAATGGACTTGGATTTCATTTAATTTTATTTGTAACGTTTTATAATTTTAAAATCTAGATATTAATGCACATTGATTTAATTAAAATTTAATTTTTTTTATTGTCATTATTAAATACAATTTATTTATTTTATTTTATTGTTTAAATTAAGGGATTTCTAAATGTTAATGCCAAAATAAAATATTTCAATATCAATTAACTTACTATTGTTAGATCATTATTCACTCACAATTTTTATTATTTTAATATTAACTTTCATAATTTAAAATTATCTTATTAATTAATCTACAACACACATTTTGTATAAGTAGCTCTAGGTTAAGTATAATGTATTTTTAACCACTTTTTACTAATTTTATATCTTTTGATCACTATTTAAGTTAACTTCAATTTTTTCTCTAATTTTCACTTTGTATTTGTTTCTTGGTTAATGCTGCTAAAAAGTTATTCTCTTTTTAAACTTATATTTTATGTTTCTTTAACTATCTAAAATTAATGGAAAATTTCAATGCTATTCCTGCAACGTCGGTGTCCCTAATCCAACTCTAAGGTAATTAGTATTTATATTTTTTATATTTGATACATAAAAAAATTATTATTCCATGATGATAATAAAAATATTTTAAATTATTATATTATATTTATAATTATAAAATTTCATATTTTTTATAGGTACAAGTTGAATATTGAAGCATATGATAATTTTGGAATGACGATATTTGTACAGTTTAATACAGAAACTAAAGATTTAATTAATAGAAATGTTAATGATCTGTATCAAATATCTGTTAAGGTATTGAGTTAAAAATTATTTTAATATTATTTAATATTCAAATTAATTGAATGATATATTTATAATTATGATTTAGAAAAATAGAGATTATAAAATCTAACAGATATTTGAAGATCTTAGAGGTAAAATTTTTATGTTCGAGACGAGGGCAACCAAGTATAATCTTGAGACAAATAGTATCAAACTTGTGAATAAGGTGTACAAAATTTACCCTAAGCTTGAATGTAAAAAATTATTAAAAGAGGTATGTATAAGCTTATTATAATGATTATGTTTATTAAAAAGTTATATAGTTAAGATTATAACTCAATTATTGTCAAATTACATCTTACTGTTTTATCTATCTCTTTACTTCCATTTGTGAAATCTATTGTCTCATCAAATAACATGATACCTACTTCAAAGATAGCAAGAAATACTAGAGAATTAATTCTTGCGTCTTCATTTTAACAACTTATGGAAGAATCTCTCATGAAAAAAAGTTTATATGCGAAAGTTGATTTTAAGGATGAAATTTTTAATTTTTTGAAATAAAAATATTATTATCTTTTGTGTAGAGATTATCTTGATTTAATAAGTTACAGTTTGAGTTTTCTCTAGAATTGATGATAATTGTATAAATATATTCAATATGTAATTAATTTATTTTATTATATTAAAATATATAAATTTAAATAAAAATAATTATATAAGTTTTGAGTTGTTTATAAGCTTCATAGCTTATATTATCATTTAAAAAAATTTTATATTTATATAAAATTTATTGATATATAAATACATTTTTGTGTATCTCATGGTTTTAAAACTACTCTTTATTAAAATTTCAATATATTTCGGTTGTTTTTTTTACTCAAAATAATTTTAAATTCTATGGTTATGGAAAGTGTTCAAGCAAATTTATTATAAAATATGAAAAAAAAAATAGACAATCATTTTACTCTTAAATTATATATTAATCATAATAATTAATTTTATTTAATCCAAAAATACCCAAAAAATTAGCTTACTTATTGAACTCAAAAAATAACTTATAATAAAATAATTAAAATTTGACGCAGATCTGAATGATTTTTTTTTTAAATTAAAAAGATCAGTTAAATAATTTTTTTGTAAAAATGGGTAATTTTGTCAATAAAATATAAAAAATTTAACTATTCTAATTTTATATTTATTATAATATTTTTTAAACTTTGTTGATAATTTTCTCAACTAAAGTTGATATAATTTTACTCATGACGCTAAATTTAGTAAAAAAAAAAAAAAGTGTAAATACTATTTTTTAAAATAAATTTTATAAATAAATACTATGACAAGTGATTGAATAGAAAGCGTATTACATTTTAGAATAAATTTTAATTAAAATATGATCTCGTTATTATTTTTTTGTTGCTTTTAAAACTATGAGCACATTTTTATATTTGTTATTTAGTTGGATTGTCGATAGCAATTTTAATCACAATTGAGAAAAAAAAAAAATTTGGATAGCATTAGAGATAGCACAATTTTGAATGGGTATAAATTTTAAAACGCTATAATATTATAAGTAGATATATAACAATACTTTGAGGTTATATTTGATACACGATATTATAATAAGATAAGATAAAATAATATTATGAATATGATTATATTAAATAATATTATGTTATCTTATATTTGATGTATATAAAAATTAAAATAAGATAATTTATTTATTGATCAAAATTATTTTTATTTAAAGTTTATATTATTTAAATTATTGATATAATTTTTAAGGGTATAATAAGATATATAAGTTTAATTTTATAAATTAAAGATAATTATTTTTCATTTTGGAAAGATTAAATCATCTTATACTAACATAATGATAATTTTTTTTGTAATTTTATCTCTTTCAATGATATAAAAATCTAACATAATATAAAATAATTATCATATTATTTTATCTATTATTTTATGTATCAAATATAACTTAAAACTATTTATTTTTTAATTTATTACCTTGCACAAATGCAAACGTATTGTACATACATAAAAAGACGTAAAAATTATAATTAAGTAAAATATATAATATAAATAGAATTGTAGAAATAAGAAGTTAAAAGAAAAAAAAAATACTGATATTGTTGTATTATTTGTGAGTTTAGCTTTACTTCACAGTTTTTGATATCAATAATACAATCAATATCAAAATTTAAAAAAAATCTCTTTTAATACAATTAATATCAAAATTAAAAAAAATATCTTGTTTATGTTTTTGGATAAGTATTGTCGGAGATTAGATAAGACCAAAAATTAAAAAGACGCCAAAGATGTACAATACATTTGCATTTGCACAAGACGTGAAAGATCTTTCTAAATAAATGTAATTCAATGTTACTGTCAATTATAAAGGATAGTTATGCAACTTGTAATAATACGTTATCAGTTTTAAGTCTAAAAGATAAGGTGACGTGGATTCATATGGACTCGAGTGTTGAGTAATAATGTCAGCTGCGAGTTTCCCTAGCATTTCTGTGTAGTTTTTTTTTTTTTTTTGGTCCTTTTTCTTCTTCTGACGTCGGCCATGACAACTTTCCATATCTGGAATCGTGCTGCAGTCAACTGAGAATCTACTTTCACAATAGGTTTTATCATAAACGGAAAGTAAAAGGTTTAGCTTTGTCGGCCACTTGGGAAGAGTGTTGGGCCCACTTAGAATGCACAGCAAAAGTAAAAGGATCAGACTAGGAGGTGGGTGATCATTATCATTCACGATGACAATATAAACAGCTATATGAAGCTCCTTAGTCCCTTTCGCTAAACAGAAGATGAAGTTTACATCTTACGTGCTGTTCCTTTATCAAGACTTTCCATTATTACTTTAGCCTTTCGAATATATTCTAATATGTAGGCGTTGGCCACCATCTATTCCCAGTTTAATCATTTTCACACAATTTTCTTTTTAACAGTTCAATCAATTTCATACGATCTGATCCACACATGCATAAACAAATTCTGACATACAAAACAGATAAGCTCAAATATTCAAATCCCAGCAAATTCAACAGGCTATCATCTAAATTTTATAAACCAAGTAACTTATCTCCAAAAGAAAAACACACAAATTCAAACAAAACAAAACTGCAAAGCACGATCTCTCTCTCTCTCTCTCTCGCATGACTACAAACATGTGTTTCAAAGATAACTGGCAAAGAATGAATGGTAGCTTGAATGAAGGACAAACTTTCCATGTCACTGAAGTAGCTATCGTTTTTATAGAAGTCTATTAAACTCTATGAAATAGGTAAACTACAGCATAACCAAACATGAGTAATCCTGATGCTTTCACAATTTACATAGATTTCATTAGACCGATGTCATCCAATGATGTGGCAGTCAGCAAGTGTTTTCTTTCATGTCCTCTTGATCTTTGAAAATGTTCCAGTCTCAGAGAAGTACTTTGAGTTCCACTGCCAAGCTGATGTACATGAGCTTGAGGGTTTGTGAGCTCAATCCCTTGAGGAATAAAGATGCCAATCATTACTGTTTGATTCCTCTAAAAAGTTCAACCTAAGACTTTTGCCAACCCTCTCCTACTCTCCAAGGAAAATTGAGAAAATAATCATCAAAAGCTATAGTTCTAAATTTTAGAAGAAGCAAAGTTACACAACATTACATCTCAAGATACAGACAGAGCCACATTATGAGATAGAATACATACACATCTCTAAGGCTAAAAGATAAATCCTCTAAAATTCCTTACATGCCTACACACATACTACTACATATAACATATGCCACTTACTTCAAAATAACCGAAACCCTGCCCTCGTTTCCTTGGTCCTCCACTAGAACCCTTTTGCATTATTGAAGCCAACAATGTAAAATCACCAACCTAAAAAAATAGTCTTATGCAGATTTTTCTTTTTGTAATTTCATCTCTTCACCTCTGCTTCAAGCAACTTAAACAGCCTTAACCTAAACTGTTTACCCCTATTTTGAGTCCTAAATGCTAAACCCTTTCTTGCACCTAGTAAAAACCAAGCAGGCAGACTTCTCAAATCTTTCATATCTTGTATGTGTAGAACTAAAATCCTGTCAGTTCATTGTCAAAGTAGAAGAAGATAAATACCGGCGCAGGTGTGAAAGACAAACTTGAAGTTAGTCCAGAGGCAGCACCACTGCTTCCATAATGCTTTTCCTAGAACCTGAAGGAAAGAAAAAAAAATACACCCATGAGATCAACATGCAAGGTTGAGTTTGAGAAATTAATACCAAAACTACTGAACAAAACTGGGAAAACAACAAATGACTTCCAAACTTGCAATCTTAAAACAAGAACAGGAAAACCTACTTCTTAGCAACTTTGGCCGCAAGTTTGCTCTGACCAACTCACACACGCAGTTTGCCACTCCCAGCCTGACCAGTATGCTAAATTTAAGAATTCAAACACGAAGGTGAAAACAAAAGAAATTGCTAAGAGATGAAACTAACCTGCATTATATCAATGTGTCTCTGAGTTTTTTGCAATTTCGAGACGCTGTCCAGATCATCATAGTTAAGGGCTTCAAAACCGGCGAGGTCACCATCACTATCTTCTTCCATGATTTTGACATCATCATTTTCTTCGTCCTCAGAGATTGATATGAATATCAATAATAATATTAATTATCAAATAAAAATAACCGAAATTGAAAAAGGAGAAGAGAAGTAAGATTTCAACTCACAAGAACATTGGCTTCGTTGCCCGATAATTCATCAAGGTCCGCAAGAAATGAATCAACTAGAGTTGCCTGTAAATTTACCAGTAAATAAGTTAGACAGTGAAAATGAAATTATTTGATTAAAAAAAAAAAGTAATCAAAGAAACTGAAAGGCAGAAAAGAAATTATAACAAGAAGAAAATTAACCATCTCAAGGTTTTCGAGACTCTTGACGCAGAGAATAAACGATAACAAATTGGAATTTAAAATTTCCTAATTAGAAGAATCAAGAAACCCTAATCGAAGAAAAACAAAGAAAAGGGAATTTTAGAAAGCCAGATTTGAGAGCTAAAACAATTAAACAAGTCTAGTAAGCTTGAAGCTTCTGGTTTTCTTTTTTTTTCCCCTTTAATCTTTTCTGCTTCGTTTGTGTGTGTGTTTTTTTTGTGGCAGCGTGCTAGCAACTTGGTGGGACTTCGTATGGGCTCGACAGTGGATTCCATTTCAGTAAAATGGGCCTAAACCACACGAGGTTTGATTCTCTTCAAAGTCATACCCTAGCCCTGCTTGAGTTGCTGGGCCCAAATCCTTTGACGTAAATTTTCATGATCACCTACATCTATAACAATATATATCTATCGATATATTATTAATTGATTAATTATTTTAATTAATTTTTATTTTAAATTACATGAATCTAATTAAAAACAATTGTGCCAAGTTAGGTAGCGATCTTTGATTGATGAAAAAGGAGAAAGTTAAACCAAAAAAAAAAGAAAATTTGGTCTCTACGGTAACTTTTCAAAGACGATCAGAAAAGGAAAAAAGATTTAGGAAAAGTGAGAAATCGAGTATCAAGAACAATCTCAAGTATTCAAGTTCATAACTCATTGCTGATCAAGGAACAGCTAATGGTCTCATTCACATTGTGGGTCAAATACGTTGAGCGTTATTTGTTTAGGTACAATTTATAAAAGTTTGTTCTGTTACATCCTGCTCGAATTCTAGGGACTCTTGGACCCTTTTTTTGCACCCAAATAAATTAATAAAAGATATGATGACTTTAGAACTGGCAGGCTGATTCTAGTACCGAAGAACGATCTTATTCATAAACAGCTTTGACAGGTCTCCCTGCTTCCTCGTCAACCCTGTCTACGGTCTGTTTTTTGCGATGATAGAAATAGATCACACAAACCACCCACTTCATCACATTCCCCATGCAAATCAAGCTAACATGTAAAATAGTTCTCCAGCCTTTCAGATTGCATCGACTGTAGAAACATGCTAACCTTAAACCGACAACCCACACGAAGAAAACAAGCATCAACAAGAACCCTTGTCTCTCGCTGCCTCTACAAAAATAAGCCGAGAGTCCCAGAGCATTTGCCCCATGTACCTCCTCTAACATTGAAATCACAATACTCATGTTCCAGATGGCAGTCCATTCTAAGTATTTCACTAGCAAAGCCACGGCAGCTACTCTAAAAAGTGCTGCAGTGAACACATAATAGAAAAAGTTCCTCACTATAATATAGTAGTTTGTCACTAACCATGTTGATCCCAGTAGAAAACAAGTTGATACGAAGTAAACATATGCAGATGTGATGAGGATGCCTTTACACCTTGCTTTGTTGAGAAGTCTCTTTACCATCTCCCTTGGAGTCATGGGTTTCTCTTTAATATATGTTTTTCCTGTCAAATCAACGGTAACCACCGCGGCGCAGAGCTCCAATTGATGAAGGGGCAGCAGATGGAGAAGACCCAGTTGGATCAGTTTATAAAAGAAATCATTTGCCATTCTTCTGCCATTGACTGGTACCAGCCATTCATCAAAATAAGCCGGGGGTTGTCTTAGTATCTCCGAGGTTGCAATAAGTATTCTTTGGAGGATCATTTCATGGAAAACCAAGAAGCAAAGTAGGGGTATGGAGGCCACAAAAGAAAGTGGGATGAAGTGGGTAGTTTTATAAGGGATCATAAGAGCTTCTTTGAGTATATTAAAGATCTCTGGCTTCTGATTCAGCATATTGCTGTGGTTCTCGATCTCAATCCCTTTCATGTCCAATGAATCTATTGAAGGGTTTTATCATAATTTATGTAGAAATTTTCGGTCATATACTAGGGAAAGAATGTCTTAAGGTCAAACCAAATGGGCATCTAAGCTAGTGGTTAAACTTGATCAACTCTTTATTTATTGGTAAGATGGCTTCCATTTTCCCACCACCACCAAAGTCATCATCATGCAGCCATGACTTCTTTGAACAAGTATGATCACTTACGATTTGGGTACTTGACAATAGGAAAAGATTTTTTTAAAGTGAAGTTTATAAAATTTTTTATTAGAAATGATTAAATAAAAAAATTAAAAATTAAAATTTTAGATTAAAAAATTTTATTATATAGATCAAATGTATAAAATTTTTTAAAAATTAATAAATTTTTATTTTTTTAGATAAATATTTTAAGTAAAATGTTGATAAAATTTTTACTATTAAATAAATATCAATTAAATTTAAATTATAAATAGTATTTTTAATAATTTTTTATATATTAATTTATTGATTTAGATTTTTCATTAAAGTTTTTATTGAATCATTTTTTTTTTAAATTTACAAATTTCATCTTAAAAAATTTCATATAAATTTTATCCCTTTACGCTAAAAACTAGGTGATGTCTAGGTTGAGGTCCTTTCCGGTAAGGTCCATTAATTTTGAACATTAGATTAGGCCTGGTGTTAATGCAGTCATTAGATGAAATGTAGCATGTGAGATCTTTACAAGGTGGGGGAAATGGTAAATGTCTATACTATCATATATATGTATCATATACCCATAACATCAAACATATTTAATTAAATAATGTTTGATATTACAATCATAACATGCTTTTGAACTTTTTTTTTTTACAATTAATGCTTTTTTTAAAAATCCTTTATATTATCTTTTGTAATACTGAAATGCTAATAGAATGGTGTTTATATTTATTTTTAAACAATTAAAATGCAAATAAAATGATATTTTATATTATCTTTTATATATAATCAAAATCAAGTAGAATGATACCTCCTTTTATTCTCTTAAATTATAATAAATTGAAGTAGAATGCCCGACGAGAAGCATGGTTACCATTCTAGTTGGTATTACTCTTGAAACCTTCTTTGAATTAAGGGTGGGGTATTTAAATATTTTTTTTACTAAAATATGTTTTAACATTAAAGTTTCCAACTGCTCAAGGTATTTTTTTTCTACATTCAGACTAAGTTTTTATTAAATTCTTTTTACATGAAATACAAATTATAAGTATTTGAATACTTATTTAATAATTATATTATCATCGTATTTATGTTTATTACAATTTAATACCTTATAATTAATTTTCCTTACTTTGCAATTTTCAAATAAATCACTTTGATTATATATATAATTTTATTTCGACTGAAAAATAAATTTTCTGACTTTGTCCCTAACACAAAACAAATATCATATAATAAGTAGGGGTGAGTAAATAATCGGTTCAATCGGTTTGGTTTGAAAAAATAAATAATCGACTTAACCGATTTTTATTTAACAAATAATCGAACCGTCCGAATATTATTAAATAATCGATCAAAATGGGTTCGGTTAAATAACAGATTTTTTTATCACTTTTTTTTTCTATTATAAATAATTATTTAACCATAAATTCAATTCAATAAAATTCAAATTCTAGTATCATTCAAAATAAATTACTAAAAAATTTAATAATTTCAACAATATTTTACAAAAAAATAAAAATAAAAATATTTATCTCAAATTTTTTATTTTTAATTATTAAAAAATCGATTAATTCGGTCAGTGTGATTATCAATTTTAAAAACTAAAAATCGATCGAATTAATCAATTTAACCGATTTAAAAAATCGATTATAACTAAAACCAAATAAATCGAACTGATTCAATCGAATTTACTCAATTTCAATCAATATAGTCAGTTTAAATCGATTTTTGCTCACCCTTAATAATAGGTTGGTTAATGAAGTTAATTTTTTTAATAGCACCCCTTTTGTCCCGATCACTATTATCAAACTTAGAATGACTCAATAGTCAATCGATCAATTACATTCATTAATTTAATCATCTATGCAATTGATTCGAAAAAAATCATATTGATACATTTAAAATTCATAGTCGACTAAGTTTTTTATTGACTTGAGTAATTTAAAAATATTTTTTAAATGATTTTAAAATCATACGTAATTTAATATTTGTCTGCTAATTGTTGTTTTTTTTTTTTTCATATTTTTACTTAAAATATTTTCTTAAAAGATTTTGAAAATAACATTGATAATACATTTATAAAAAATAAAAAAAATAAGACAAAAATCATTGTAAACTTGCTTTCTTTGTAATTTTTTTTTAAAATGATAATGAATACTTATAATTCTTATTCCATAATTTTTAATTTATACAATTACGCATAATATTTATATAATTGGTAATTTTATCTATAATATTATAAAATATTTTTACTAATCCATTAAAAAAATTTATTAGTGTTAGTTAAAGATTATGTCAACAATCCCAATACAAAAAAATTAATAGTGTTAGTGATTGAATTAATATTAACAAATCAAAAAAGTAAAAAAGACTGAGGATATGATTTGTTGATGGATTCTAAGGAGAAATTTCATTTATGGAGAGATTTTTAAAATTTTAAAATAGAATTATTTTATTTTATAAAATAAAAATTGGAATTGTCAAAATTCTTAAAATTTGAATGAGGAATTTTGAAAGATTTAAATTCTCTTTTAAATATTTGTGAAATTCCTTGATTTTATGGTAAGAAATGATATTTTTTTACATAACTTTTTTTGCAATTTAACTATAAAAATTCATTATAAACTTTATTTTTAACTTTTCATATTATTAGTAATATCTACACATTTTTACAAATCTAATGATACTCATATTATATATTTTTTTAATATTTTGTTTTTTTATCTCTAATTTTATTTTTATTTATTATAATTATTTTTTCTCATCAAATTCCAATATTTTAAATTTTTTTTTGAAAAAATAATTATTCAAACAATGTAATTACAAATTATGTTATTTTGAATTGATACATTTCAAAATATAAATTTCAAAATTTTTTTTAAAATTTAAAATTTCTCATATACACACACTTTTAATTTATATGAATTATCTATAACTATAAATAAAAATTATCCCCAATTATTGCCCACACACTTCAGCAAAGTCTTAAAAAAGAATTGCACAAGTAATTTTGCAATAATGTAGATCTAGAAGGTTCTCTCTCAGCACTTTATCAAACTCTTCTCATCTGTCGTCAATTCTTGCTTATGGCTTTTTCTCAAACACCATTTCAAACCATAAGGCTTTTCTGGATAACGAATTGACTTTTAAGGAATATGCTAAAATTTGGGTTTTTTAGGTAAGTCTTTTTTTCAACTTGGTTTTGAGTTGATCTCTATGTTTCTGACTAGATTTTATCATTTTCTTCAATTCTTTTTATTACTTTTCTGATATAGATTTTTATTATTAAGTCATAAAATTTTGGTTTTCATTGTTTGTTTATTTTTTTTTTTAATAATTTTTGGAAATGAGTTTTGATTATTGATTGATAAAGTTGAGGATTTGATTGTTTAGATTGGGGTTTTTTCTTTTTATTATTTCTTTGATTTGGGTTTTACAATTGTTAAAGCTCCTGTCTTGAGTGGAGATAGGAAAGCAAGGGAGTGAATGGTTTTCGATGATGAAGAAAGTGTTCAAATCATCTTCTAAGGACTTGCATGTAAAAAAGGTAACTAATTTTTGTTGGTTCTTGGATTTTCCCTATTTACTCACCGATATGATTGCCTAATGTCATAAAAAAATTGAAGATTAAATTTGGCATAAAAAATTTGATTTACAATTGGTTCTTGTTCCTATCTCCAGCTGTTTGTTTTAAGGGTTTGAAAACCCCTTAAACTCTGTTACCCTCTTTTTCTCCTCGACAACAAAAGAACAAAGCAACAGCAACGTGCAACAACCATGGTTTTAAGTACTGATTGAATGGCAAAACTCTCATCCATATCTAGATTTTTGTTTGGAATCAACATTCCATTCAACCTATCCTAAAATACTGTAAGCATACTGCTGTTGTAAAAAACAATTGCATGGTCTCCCCATCTGCATAGGCTTTTTGTTTCTGGAGGTGGTATAGCTGATCAATACATTCGTTTCTAGAATACAACAATTAACACACACTTGAGCTGCATAGACACTGACAGTTAAGTGATTTTTTTATTTTAGTTTTTATCATATCATACCCCTTTAATATGGCCTCAAACGTGCATGAAATGGAAAAACCTTTTAGTGCATAAAGTTATTTCCCTGATTGCATTGATATAATTGATGTTTTTCCAATTAGTTTGAAATGACGCAGCATGCTATCATCTGCATTGTAGTCAAAGTAACTCTACTGCCAATCTAAAATGCAGTAACTATGTGAATAGTAACAAATGCATTAACTATATGAATAGTAACAAGATAAGGGTGATAAAAAAGTTTAATCTAAATTTTAGCTTTCGATTTCTCCTATAAGTTCTTGAAATGTGTCCTTGGTAAAGTTTTATTGAAGAAATTAATAGACATAGTCATTGGTTTCTTTTTTGCATTAGTGGTGCTTCTTAATACTAGAGTTACAAATTCTAGACAATGCTAATGTCCACTTTATGAATGATAGGCCCTAAGAAATTAATAAACATACAGTCAACTGATTAAATGGCAAGACTCTCATCCATATACAGTTTTTTGTTTGGAATCAACATTCCATTCAACTTGTCCTGAAATACTATGAACATACTACTGATGTAAAAACAATTGCATGGTTTCCCAACCTGTATGAGCTTCTTGCTTTTGGAGGTGGTATAGCTAATTGATGCATTCATTTCTAGAATACAACCATTAACACACACTTGAGCTACATAGACATTGGCAGTCACATGATTTTTTTTATTTTGGTTTTTATCGTAGCATATCCCTTTAATATGGCTATAATGTGCATGGAATGGAAAAA